AGCATCTACCACATCTACCACACAAGGTCTGAAATCTACCACATAATCGCGCTTTTGAGTAGTTTTATTTTTGCTTGACTTAATTTTCTTAATTTTAAGAGAAAAAATTGTCCAACACTAAACACTATGTGGTAACAAGAATGATATAATATAAGATTTCGGATTCCCGGCGACGATGAAATTTTTCAAGCTAAAGTAAACAAAGCCGAATGGGAGAATAAAACAAAATGTAAAATAGTAAATTTTCTCAGTAATCAATTTTTCGACAGGAAACGCGGTTTTATTGTGTTAAATTGTAAAATAAATGATTTATAAAAAGAATGCGAAAATGTTAAAAAAAATGGCGATTTTTGTGAAAGTATTAGCAAATTTAAGTGCATCTAAGGTTTCAAAGGCGTTGTTTACTTTTACTTGAGAATTGACAAAATCGGCAAATCTGAATTAGCTGTTTCTGGAACGTGCAACATTTGTACGCTATTTCGTGATGTGATAAAAAGAAAAGCTGGCAGCACTCCGCAATGTTGCAGAAATCTCTTAAAATATGTTCGAAAAATACCCTAATATGGAAGGAACTGCTTTACACTGTCAAGGACAAAAATTGCCAAAACTCAACACAATTTTTAGCAACTTCAATCCTGCACTTTATTATACTAAAATTAAATTTTTTTTAGAGTCTAATTAAAAAGCATGTCATTTAGGTGAAACCTTGCAGAATTTATGTAATTTTTGTACAAATTTTTATCCAAACCCAGAGATCTACCACATTTTNCATTTAGGTGAAACCTTGCAGAATTTATGTAATTTTTGTACAAATTTTATCCAAACCCAGAGATCTACCACATTTTTTTTAAATCTACCACATTTTTTTCCAGATTCAACCACACAGAATTTTTTTAAAGTCCGATCACTGGTACATACATATATTTTTTCGAGGAACAAAATGGAGACCTATGTACACTGATCTAAATCAGTCGATATAACGTTTTTTATTTGACTGCAAATGTCATTGAATTTGAGAATAGATAATGAAAACCTGTCTTAAGGAGCACTCCAACATACTCTTTGTTAAACGGCAACCTTTAGCTGCATTTAACTTTTTTGCTCAACCTATGTACACTGAGGGAAATAACGCGTAGTAAAAATGAATATTTTTCATTTGATTATCGTTAAAAATGTTCCTATTTAAAAAAAAAATATTTTCATTCCAAAATTTAGCACACATGTATTTGAGTATACGCTGAGGGGGGAAAATAGTAAAATCAAATAAAAACGTATTTAAATCAAATGAAAACGTGTTCAAAAGTAGTGTATGTATAATGTGACCAACCGTACTTCTTTCGGAAGTACAGTACTTCTTTTTTCGCTCTTGTACTTCGTACTTCGAAGTACAGTCAAATGTACTTCTTTACGATATTTTGTACTTCGGGATGGGGATTCTGTAACCACTTAGCGACAATTTTCGGATCGCTATCGCGCTTTTTGACGCATGATATAAATGTTTTTGCGTCAAAAAGTGCAACAGCGATTCGAAAATTGTCGCTAACTGATTACGGAATTTCCCCCCAGGTCCTGTTCTTCTCCGTTCTTCTGGAAATTCGTCACATAGCCTGGGCGATAAATTCATTCAAACCATTAAAGTCGCGGGGGACCGATGGCATCATATCTGCGCAGCTGCAAAGCTATCAGTCACTGTCTTTCTAGAGCTGAATATGCTTATTGCAAGAAAAGGTCGGTGAATACCGTCCTGCACACAGTGGTAAAGTCGTCAGAGGAAGCGTTAACGCAGGAAGTTTATGCAGTAGGGGCCTCTTCGATATCGAGGGGGCCTTCAACAATGTCACTCCAAAGGCAATAGTCAAGTATATTCATAATCTGGGGGTTGAAACCAACCTAATAAGCTTACTTTATGACAGTGTGGGATTCAATGGGAGCACTCAGCAAGGTGGTGTTCTCTCTCCCCTGCCCTGGATTGCAGTTGTAAACGACCTTCTAGAGGAACTGGAAAAGTGGGCTGTCGAGTGATCGCCTATGTAGATGATGTGGAACTTTTGGTTAAGGGACGATTTCTATACACCCTTTTTGATCTAGCTCAAGGTTACCTGAACTAGGTAACTAGGTGGGCGATCAACGGCGGCTGTCGTAGAAGCCTAGCATTGAGGAAAGGGTACGAAAGGTGCGATTGGTATTCATGTGGCGAGACTAGAAACTGATTAGAGACTGATCCTTTTGTATAAGCTGTCAAGAGGAAGTTGAAGTCGAAACATCTCCACACTTTCTTTTAGACTGTCCAACCTTCGCGAGGCTTAGATGGAAACATTTTGGCTCGCAGTTGTGAACAAACACTCGCGGCGTTAACTTTACCCAACCTAACCTGTATTTCTTTGAAAGTAGTAATGAATTACATGCGTGATAAATAATATAATGTATTTCTTATTAGTTCTGTTACAAGCATTCTAATGTATTCTAAAAGTTCCAGAAATGCAAAATTGAATGCCCCACTTTTCTTAAGACCGCGCCCTGGGAAAAAATATGCATATTCGAATGTGAAAAAGGGTTGTTTTACTGATTACTTTTTCGATTTCTATACATTACATTTTTCCACTGGGTACATATGTACATATGTATGTACTTAGTGCATGTTCATCTCTACTAGGCTTGGGGAGCTTTTGAATAAAAGAGCGAAAGAGCCAGATCTTTTAATTGAACTAGGTCATTAGTTCGTTCATTAAAGTTAACTAAACTTTTCTGTGGCAACACTACAATAAAAATGGAAATGTAATTTTACAACACATATGAGAAATTATAGATACTTACAGCCGCACTCACACCCGCACTCAGAGTCGTTTAATGATTACTTAATGTGTCCCTCAGTAACGATTTAAAAAGATTCCCTCTCAGAGTCAGTTAATGATTCGTTAATGGCATTTAATGAACCTTAAAGTTAAGTAAACAAAACCCTTTCCTTAACTTTTTAGCGAATGATTTTGAAATTTTTTGTTTGTTTTCAAAAAATTTCAATTTCGATAACATCGCTGTAACAGTGGCAATGGCCTAGTGAACAGAGCACTTTCGTGCCATTCAAGAGATCCGAATTCAATCCTCGGCAACGAATTTTTTTTAATACAATTTTTTTTTTAAGTTTTATTGCTTAAAAATTCATATTTTTTATTTTATTTAACGTTTGGAAACTTTTTTGATTCATCTTTTTTCTTTTACTTTCAGTTTCTAAAATTTTTAGTTTTTCCTGTTTTTCATTTCGTTTTGTTTTTAGAAAACTTATTGCTAAGCGTAAAAAATATAATAACACTATTAGCACATCTGTCAATTAGTTATTCGAAATACAGAAAATGTCTTTCAAGATAGTTGCCGAAATATAAAGACTTTTGTCTCTTGAAAGACTGAGGTGAGTTGAAAGACAGATGCCGGAATTGGCCTGTTATTGGTCTTGTTTGTCTTTTAGCAAACAATTTAATTAAATTTTAAAAAAATTGTTTTCTTTTTAAAGCAATAAAATCTATACACCAAAAGAAAATTAGATCAAAAAAGCTAAAAAATTCAATACAGATAGTTTATAAAACTAAATAAGAAAAAAATAAATAAATAAAAAAGGAAAAAGAAAATTTTCCTGCCCTAGGACTCGAACTCGGATCTCTCGACTGGCGCGCTAGTGCTCTGCTCACTCAGCCATTGCGTCTGTTAAGCCGGTGCGCGCAAAATGTCCGTGAGTCGCTCCAAAAATATTTTTTAGAAATTTTTATTTCATGGTTTTCCATAATAAATTTAGCAAAACGAGCTCCTATTAGAGCGGCCATCAGCTCAAGTCTGGGTACAGACGTAATTTTTATTGGTGCAACCCTGGTCTTAGCACCAACTAGCGAGCAGCAAATAACATCATTCTTCTTCAGCCTAAAGTAACTCACAGCGGCGTATCCATCTCTACTAGCATCCACAAATGTATGCAGTTGCACATCCACATCATCATAATTTGAAAATTTTTTCAAATAACAACGATCAATTTTAATCTTCTGTATATCGGGTAAAATTTTAACCCATTGGTTCCACTTTGGTATCAATTCAAGGGGAATTTGTTCATCCCAATCTATTTTAGAACGCCATACGTCTTGCATTAGCACCTTGACGTACATTATTATATGGCCAATTAACCCTAGCGGGTCATAAATTGACATAACAAGCCTCAGCATTTCTCGTTTTGTTGGAGACTTTTCAAAGGATAACAAATTGCTTTCTAAAAGCCATGATGCAATTTTAAAAGTTATAGCATCCTCCTGATGCTCCCAAAAAACTCCCAAAACTTTTTCAACTTGCGTTTCATTTTTAAAGTTTATGCACTTTACGGCCGTGGAACTTAGTGCTGGGAAGGCTTGCCGTACCAAAACATTGTTAGAAATCCAATTTCTTATATTGAAGCCACCTTGGCGATGTACATGTGAAACATCCGTAATTAGTTTTATTGCATCTTGTGGCGTGTTGACTGTACTGTGCAATGCTAGGTGCACATGTAGCACCAAATATCAAGACATCCATTACATAAACATCAGGCGCTTTGTTTTGATCACCATCCCGCCAAAGAAACCGCTGAACATCACGGTCATCTGGTCTTATGTGCACTTGATGAAACATCTCCTCGATGTCACCACAAACAGCCACCGCATTTTGGCGAAATTTAAATAGAATTGATGGCAGGGAGGCCAACATATCAGGGCCTTTTAGCAGAAATGAATTTAAAGATGAGCCACATGATTTAGCAGCGGCGTCCCAAACGACTCGCGATTTACCGGGTTTATTTTTATTAAAGACCGCAAAAATAGGCAGATACCAAATTTTTCCATCGGCACGCTGAATTTCATTTTTATCTAATTTGCGTATGTAGCCCTTAGACAGATAATTTGAAATTGTATTTTTAAAAATTTCAAAAAGTTCAAAATTTTGGCTTAATTCTCGCTCAAGACACGTAAGCCGTTTTAAAGCCATGTCATAACTATCTGGCAACTTGAAGCTGTCAAATTTCCATAATAATGGGACCTCATAATGCCCATTATCTTTATAATGGGTAAAACTATCTAATAAGTTTAATGCCCGCTTTTCACTTTCAGCAAGCATTGGGTCTTTAGCACATATGCCAACACTATCGAGAGTATAAAAACTCCTAACTAACTCGTCCAGTTGCTGATCGCTTTCAGAACAATCACATATATGAAAATTAAATTGCTTACGTGAATTGTGTTCTGCTACTGTGCCGTAAATAAGCCATCCGAGTTTCGTACAAACAGCCACTGGTTCATGTGGAGCACCCTCAAAAGTTTTAGTCGAAATTCCCATTTTGAAATGATTTAAACCAATCAATAATTTCGGCTTTGCATTTGTGTAGCTTTCTATTGGTAATTTTCTCAGGTGGCGATAACGCTGCGACAATAATTCGTAGTCCAATGTCTGTGTTGGCAAATTTAATGACTCCACTGTACACACATTCATTTCCAAACGTTGTTTGTTTCCTCCTGAAATATGAATTTTTAATTTTCTTGAATTCTTTTCATTCCTTTGCATACCTCCTGTCCACCGCAAACACAAGGGATTTGGCACACCACTTATTCCTAATTGATCAGCAATTGACTCGTCCATAAGGCTGATGGAAGATCCCTCATCGATAAATGCAAGGGTTTTAATCTCTTTATCATTGCCGTATATAGTAATCGGTATTATTTTAAACAAAATGTTTTGCGAACTAGCACTGTGAGCATTGTTTATCACTTCTACTTCTTCTACAGCATGGGTGTTGTTTACATTTGTTTTCTTCGTAGTTGACGTTTGTTTATGTGTTCCATCATAGCGGTGTAATGAAGGATGGTGAAAATAATCGCACTCCTCTTCACCGCACCTTTTCTTGCGCCTACACTCACCACTATGTAAACATAAACAGTATTTACATGGTTTGTTCTTCCTCACAACATTCCATTTTTCGCTACGATCTAGCGACTGATATACTGGGCAGTCACTCACTGCTTTGCAGTTGTTGTTGTTGTTGTTGTTGCAAACGACACACTTACGTTCATCACTATGAGAGTAAACATAAGCTCTTCTGCTTGCGGTTGCTTTGCTGCTATTGTTGTTGTTGTTATTGCTATTGTTTCGTTTATTATCTGTGATATTATCTTTGTTATATGCTTGGGTTATCTTTGTACAGGGATGGTCAACTGTTATATTGCTTGCAGTGATGCCAAGGCTGAAAATCCAATTGTCAAAGTCGGACAAATTTGGTTTTTTGTTTTGGTTATTAAGATTCATTTTTATAGTCGCCCATTGCATTTGATAAGATGGGGGAAGTTTTTGAACTAATTGCTGGAGTAAAAATGAATTATTCAATTCATCTGGCAAGTTACCAGCAGTGATAGTGGAAATCAAACTGCGAACATCAATAGCAAAGGAGGTAAGTGTTTCTAAGTTATTTTCATTAACTTTCGGCGCTAAACTAATTCTATTTTTTATTGAATTTAATATTTTTTCAGGTTGGCCATACAGCATGCGAAGTACTTCGATGACACCAGGAACGTTTGCAGGGTGTATTAGCATATGTTGGACACTTTGCAGTGCTTTACCTTTTAGTGCCTTTTGGAGTCGAATGAGGTTTTCCGTATCGGTGAAGTTGCAGGCGGTGGTGGACCAGTCGTAAGTGGAGGAAAATATGGGCCATTCTTCTGGTTGGCCAGAAAATGTAGGTAAGTCTTTAGGCACCGATTGCCTTGTAGTCATATGGCTTTGTTGCAGTATATGCTGTGTGGAGTTAAATTGTGGTGAAGTAAAATTGTTTGTATTCACATGCATTGTAGACGACATCGGCACATTTTGAATAAATGGAATATTTTGATTGGAGCAATTAGAATTTTGTGTTGTGTTTGAATTAACAGGTGGGGGTTGCATTGAGGGGTTTGAGTATACAGGTAAGTATGAAAATGGCACAGCAGCTGGTGGGTGGGCATTGGTCGGAATGAAAGGCAGTGTTCGATCATATTCACGATTAGTGGTAACAGCTGAAGCACTAATTGGTGCGCTGTTTATTATCGTTGAACTTACTGCAGCATTGGTGACCGATGTTATACCTTGTGAATTTTGTTGCTGTCGCATATGTGCAGTAGAAATGCAAGGTATGTTGGAGGAATATGAATTTTGATTTGCAGGTCTTGTAGGTAAATCAACACACGTAGTTTGATTGGGCAAGTAGGATGTTTCAACATAGGCCTGGTTTTCTACATTATTAGTCGCATGTTGGCGACTGATATCTTGTTGAGTATCTGCTAACCAATCCCGTACGGATTGGGAGTTTTGTGATGAATTTGAGCAGAGGTCTTCTGCTTCTTCTAGAAGCTGATATTTTTTATTTAAGAATTCGCGATCCCTTGCTGAATCAAGTTCTCGCTGCTCTTGTAGCTTTTTAAGTTGTAGTTGAACGCTACGCGATTGAGACGTTCGAGACCGATTAGAACAACGACTTGTGGCACTGGGAGCAGGTGAGGCTGGCCTATTGTCCGAACATTGTGGACATTTATAAGCTATGTTATCGGCGACATTGGCACAACTTCTATGAAACAGTTTGTGGCATTTCATGCAAGACGCCATTTTGTCGTCAGGGGGATTATGGCACATTGAGCAATCCCGATCATTTTGTTGTTGACCTTTTTCACTTTCCATTATTACTTACTGCGAGATTGGCAAGGTTATTATTGACGCTGTAGGTGACCCAGGAGGAGATGATGCGACACAAAAGAATTTTAAAATGTTGAGAAGGCAGGTAGGCCGGAGCTAATGGCTTCCACTGGATTTTGAATAAAACACACCAGCTTCAAAAAAGACTTGATTTAATCCAACAAGTGTGTGTTTATTAAAATTCCTATTTGTAAAGAAATACTGTAACAATTTTAAGGATAATTATTTTAAATTGAACCTACTTTTGGTTTGGAAACCACTAGAATTTTTTCCTCGAATTATATATGTATATGATATCTCCAAAGACACCGCGTATAAGCCAATTTGCTTTTAGTAGTTTATAGGAAAAATGGCGAAGATTTACCCACGCTACTTGACATTTACAAAGTTTCGTTAACAAAAATTAGAAGTTGACAATAAATAAAGTTATCGACTATCAATATTTTTAGAGTTGCCAGATCTTATATACATAAATCATGGGGATTTTGGAAGTCGCGTTAACATATGTATTAATTTCACACGAAAGGTTTATATCAGAAACAATCATCTTGTAATAGTTGTAAATAGTCCTGGCTAGCTACATTGTGCACTGAACTTCGGTTGCCGTATGCCTAAGTCGGCTCAGCTCGATGTTCTGGTCACATACATAAGTACACATTTCTTCTTATTCTGGTACTTACAAATATCGGACCAAAGTTATAATACCATTTCATGCTCATGAAAGGTATAGTTTTCAGATTTCAAATCGGTGAAGCAGGTAACAAAATATAAATTTAAACATTTTCTTAACTTCTTCCCAGCGTATCTATTAAAATGTCATTTTCAAAAATTTC